AACCCCCCCCCCCCCCCCCCAAAAAAAAGGTGTAAATAAGGGTGTTCGAATAGCGAAACCACCCACCACCCCCACCACACCCCCCGGGAAAAAAAGAAGGAAGGGTGCACCTGAAAGAAATGAAGTTGAGACCGGTTGAATACGATTTGAATCATGACTGCCCATGCCAAGGTGCGAGGCCTATTTAGGCCGAAAAGTGCTGAAATATGCAAATTTATCGATTTCAAGCCATAGCCTCCTAAAATAAATTAATCCCTGTAGTCCGCGAGAATGGCAAAATCCAAGCACGAATATTTCTGCAGGAAAACCACCTTTGTAAGGTAGTAAAAACCTCGTTTATTCACAGTTTACTACACAAGTTTTAGACTCAGTAGTAGATATCAATTGTGATTCTTTCACAACTCTATTTATACTATTCTTGTCCAAATTATGCACTTGTACTTCATAACTTGAAAATTTAGTATCTATAACATTACTAACATCCCAACTCAACAAGAAGTAATTTATTTCCATGCTTGCCTATGCTGATGACAGCCATGTTCCTTTTATGCCTCTTCGCTAAATATGGGAAGCTGCTAACTGGCATTGTACGCAATAGGCAAGTGCCTCCTACATTCCCCAATCATCTCGCATCAAGTGACTGCATCATCCAACGAATATACCAGTATGCCGCGACATCCATTTATGTTTTTACCTTGTTCATTATAAGATGTGCAACTACACCATTGTGTTAACATTTCTGCTTGTATAATTATTATAGCATAATTACCTGGTATCACTCCATCCGTCAACAATAGTGTCAACTTACTAGTGACAGTATGGGTGTTTTATATTACACAAAAATGGTCTTGTCTTTATAATATTATTCTGACATTTGTAAATAACACTAGTTACCTAATCTAAATCAATCTCGAAGGTTTTTCCTAGTTTACACAAACTGAGTTTACCCAAGAGTAATAACTCCTGGAGTATATATCTATGCGCATTACACGTGCCTCGACAGAGGGTAACTGAGTGCCTTCTGCCGAAACATACATATAATACTCTCAGAACTGTTGTTTACTTATATGCAAATGTGTAAACAGATGACCAATACAGCGTATACTATGAACATATTTGTAAAATCACATCAATACATCCCTGAATGCCCATCAAGTGTGGAGTATTTAAGGAGAACGATGTATCGTGATACACAAAGTTGTAACTGCATATCTGCTTTATGCTACACCCTAAATACACCCTTGTAAGATTCGGTCTATTAAGGCGATATTAACGCCTTATAGTAAATAAAAACGTAGGTAAATTCTAAGTATCGTGAAAATATCAAAGTAAATAAACGAAATGAGACTTTTAGTAAAGTTAGGTATGCCTCGCAAAAACAGCAATACTCTGAGGGATTGTGAGGCTGAGACATTGCCTATATATAATCCTCTCAGTACTGTTTCCGCCGAAGGGATTTTATTTAATGTTTCGTTGTCACTCTATTAGAAACTATGGTATGTTTCATTGGGGCGAATCCGAGAGACTCATAAAATCCTGTAATAAGCCGGGCATCCACATTAGACTCTATGTATAAATGTACTCTTAAGCAGTACGCAAATTATAAACGTACTCTTAATAGCACGAGGAACTTAAGTTTCCTAAAATGGTTTTTAATGGCTTTATTAATTAAACCTTTTCCTTTTAACATATCAGATATTTGGATGAGGCCATTAAAAGGCCTCAGTAAAATACCAAACATAAAAGAGTTGGTCTAGTTCTATTAATAGAGCTTTATTTACTTTCCAATTTTATTTACATCTGAATACTTCGGTAGCGAGATGGCTCAACCGAATATAGGTTTCTAGGAACTATTAACGTTGCCTAGTTGATCCTCTGATAAGCCAGCCAGATGTGCCAGTCTGATGAAGTGAAGGCTAAGTCGGTAATTCTTGATAGTGGCAAGTTATTGGTTAAGACAATAACTAAAGACGTCAAGAGTATTTTTATTTATTTTTTATTTTTTCTAAAGATAGGATTTTATGAGTCTATCGGATTCGCCCTTGAATAGAGCGACAACGAAACACTAAATAAAATCCCTTCGGCGGTAACAGTACTGAGAGGATGATATATAGGCAATGTCTCAGCCTCACAATCCCTCAGAGTATTGCTGTTTTCACGAGGCAAATCTAACTTTATTAAACGTCTCATTTCGTTTATTTATATCGATATTTACACGATATAAAGAATTTACCTACGCGTCTATTTATTCTAAGGCATTAGTATCGCCTTTATTAGACCGAATCTTACACATTTTAAAGTTAGCAAAGCATTAATTACTCAGACTACTTAAGCGTAAATTTAAGTTAACTACCACAACATATTTTTTTCTCTTATCTAAGCTAGTCGTTAAGAGACGAGCTAGTAGTCATAAGTTAAGATTATGACCAAGAAAGACAACACTCCTTCTAAGAAGCGTAGAGCTGAAAAGAAGAAGATGGAGAGAGAAGTCGCTAACGCTGCCGCAGCTATTACTACTGCGCAAGCAACCGACGCCGCTGCTGATGCATTTAAGCGCACTGTAGCCAAAGCACTTGCCTCTGACAATTATAGTCAAAAGGACAATGCTTCAGATAGGGAAGTAGCCACTCCGCTTAAGGAGACTATTCCTTCTGACAGAGCCCGAGGGCCAAATAGCCTCAACTTCAAAGCTTGCATTAACGAAGCCAAGAAGTGAGACAAGGGATACGTCGCAAGATGCCCCAACCCATTCTTCGGACGAAAATCAGAAAGAAAAGTCCCCAATTATGAGGGCGTCCCCAATTATAGGGGACAAGGACAAATCTCAGAAGGAACCTATTATGGAACCAGAAGAGGAGGCAAGCTCAAGTAGCAAAACCAAATATACGTCCGAGACTTCTAAGCCGAAGCACATAAGTTAGTTAATTACTAAATACACTGATCTTAAGAATCAGTTAGCTACTATTATGAAAGACTTGACTGTCGAGCATGTAGATCAATTAGAAAGATCAGGAAAATATACACAGCGCTTACGCGAGCATGTTTCCCCGGGCATTACTGAAGCCCTACAGAAGTGGACAGAACGTCGACAGGTAATTACGCCCAAAGACTCACGCTCGACACCTGAGCCATATGACCCAGATATGCACAGCGTCGATATACCGTACGAGGCATTACTGCCAGAAGAACAGGCTAATCATTCGCCTGTTCTGACACCTGGTCGTGAGTCACCTGTCCTCAAAGGTATTATAGGCCCGAGAGGTAAGGAAATATACTCCGCCACTTGTTCCCAATTGGGAGGACAATCGTCGGAAACCAGTTAAAACTGGGTATGTTATTCCGACGCCAAGGGATATTAATCATCCCCGCAGACGTGTGAACGATGTCGAGTTTAATCGCTTCGACCGCACGGCTTTACACCAACCCGCAGAGGATTTCCACTCTGACGAGGTGATCGACGACTATACCAATAAAATGGAAGTCGCCCATGCTGCGCATCATGCTGATGACGTAGCATACCATGCGAATATTATTGCGATTAAGCAAAAGCGCATAGACCAGTTACTTCAGGCTCAGCGTAGACAAGACCACAGGGACAACCAGAAGTACAAGGGACAGATCAGTCGACTTAAGTCGAACTGGGATGCCAACAGCAAGCAGGTCGAGTTTATAAACAACCATGACCTCGACACGCTAACTTGTACGCTTAATGCGTTTACGGTCATGCTGGAGACGAATGATATCGCTCCCCAGCAATGAATCTCTGCCTTATTGCAGACATTTGACCCTAAAGGTACCAGTTATCTGATCCTGCAGCGACACCAGCATGAGGTAGACATTTGTCGTGACTGGCCAGCTGTGTGTGGATCTACCTTGTTTTGACTAAAAAAAATCCCATTCTTTTTTTTAAACGCGAAAATGCCATATTTTTTTACCAAACTGGAAACTGCCTTATTTTTATGCAGACTTTCTTGAAATAAAAATAATTTCAAATTCTGAGCCCCAGGAATTGCACCAGAGACTGCGGATCAAAACTTGACTTCAAAAAATTGCTTCAAAAAAATAATTTCAAATTCTGAGCCCCAGGAACTGCACCAGATACTGTGGTTCAAAAAAATTGACTTCAAAAAACTGCTTCAAAAACTGCTTCAAAAAACTGCTTCAAAAACTGCTTCAAAAAATTGCTTCATTTCAAATCCACCGTGTTGGAGGTTTCATACTGTTCAAGTCGGCGCTGTCGGCACCCCTAACACCCATCGTGACGACCGCCGTGTTGGACAGTTGGCCGTTCATACTGTTCAAGTCGGCGCTGTCGGCACCCTAACACCCATCGTGACGACCGCCGTGTTGGACAGTTGGCTGTTCATGCTGTTCAAATCGGCGCTGTCGGCAAGTCCCGTTCGGCATAATGTAGTGCATCGCGCGCTTCTTCATCAGCTGTTTCGTCGTGTCCGCCGACCCTAACATATATATATATATATATATATATATATATATATATATATATATATATATATATATATATAAATATATAAACAATGGACGAAAACGCAATACAGGCGTTCATCGAAGACCGTGTCGACGTAAGGCTTATATGAGACGATGAATTAAAACCAGTGTTTATCGCAGCTACTATAATGAATCGTCTGGATCTAGTACGAGCTATAATTTCTGCAGATCGAAACATCTGCATTGATGACATTGATCAAGAGCTCTCACCGGAAATGTTCAAACTCCTCTTTGAAAACGTTTCGATTTGCAGACATACGGATTTCTCCGCGGCTGAGTTGTTGGTCCGAGAAGCACGACATCACCACTGGTTAAATGTAGACCTGATCATGCCGACACTGGACGAGGACGATGCGATCAAAATTTTCACCGATTATCTGGACGAGTTTTTCTTTCGATCATCCGCGGCCGGCGTTGTACGGTCGTTTTTACGTACGCGACCAATGACCAGGTATGCACACACATTATGTACGGAAAACTTTGCGTCTACGACAAACGATATACGCTCGGTCATTATCAATTATCTCGATATGAGAGACGATGACGTCACCGAATTAATACATAGTAGTTTGAATACTGTGAATATACACATGATACAAAGTCTCATATCACACCCCGACTTTGATCTTGTGCATGATCGCAAAGCACTTGCGGAACGAGCTTACAAGGAAGGGAATGCTCCGCTGGCTATGATTATTGCCGGTAAAAAACGGGGGTTCGATGTGGATGATTATATCAATGAAAATGATATTCAAAACATGACAGTTATAGCCGTTGCCACCAACAATGTGCCGCTATTCAACGCGTCCCTATCGGCTACCGACGATTTTGGAGAAATAGAATCATCCCTATTCAAGCACGGCACGGCCGAAATGTTGGAAGCTTTTCTAGCCCACCCACTCACCACCGAATACGAACTAACCCTGGACGGCTTTTTTGATCAAGCAGACCTGGTTCCAGTTCTCATGCGCAACGTACCAGACTTACTATCCGTCGTAAGCCATGTCCTGGTTAGCAACAACGCGCGTGTTCTGCAACTGGTGGCGCCACATTTAGGTCTGTGTGACTTTGACGACCTCCTAGACGCCTATTTAAACGGGACGCTTGAAGCGGCTCAAATTATACTTCCACATCTGGCCGTGGACGACGACAGTCTACAAGAAGCCGTGTTCGACGCTTGCCGTTTCAATCAGACGTCGCGCGTGGCTCTGTTTTTAGAACATTCACCAGAGTTCGACTACGGATACAACGACAACGCGCTGCTGGAACTTGCGATTGATTTGAACAATTTCCCACTAGCCATGTTGCTGATGCAAAATGAAAGTGTCGCTGTCGATCCGCGATTTTCTGT